TTTCTGGACAGCTCTGGAATGCCACACATTTATCAGAGAAACTTTTATATTAAGCCAGACGGACAATGTGTTTTTTTTTTTTTATATTTTTACTCACTTAAGCACAGAACGTCTCAAAAGAAGTGAAACACTTGGATTGCGATAATGAGTATGGTTATGACTTTTTGAATAAAGCATTTTTCTTTAGTACAACTTGCTGGCTACAGTCTTTAAAGGGCCCATATCTTACATTTTTCTTAAATCTTCTTTTTTCCCCTGCAATCCACTTATAACATTTGTGTGTTTTATGTACTAAAAAGCCATAATTCACTACTACATGACCATTTTTCAACCCATCCTTATCTCTTAGAATTAAACAGGCTGGTTTAGTTACTGTGCCTATAAGACTGATATATATAAATGAGCTCTGTTCTGAATGGCTGCCCTGTATGGTGCCTCAGTCTGATCTAAAAGACTCCTTATAACCTTAATGAATTTAATGAATGAGTCAGCTGCAGTGCTGTGGGCCGCATAGGCAGATATATAGTTGCACGCAAACATTTTAACACGCCTAAATTATATGTTTTCTTCTACAGTGAACAGACATGAATATGGCACTTCCCTGCAAATGTCAGTGCACAATTTCTATTTATTTGCTGATTTGAAAATAAAACTTATTATATACACCGATCAGGCATAACATTATGACCACCTCCTTGTTTCTAAGCATCTGTTTCTCTGCACACTTTGTTAGCCCCCTTTTACCCTGTTCTTTAGTGGTCAGGACCCCCATGGACCCTCACAGAGCAGGTACTATTTGGGTGGTGGATCATTCTCAGCACTGCAGTAACACTGACGTGGTGGTGGTGTGTTAGTGTGTGTTGCGCTGTGGATCAGACACAGCAGTGCTGCTGGAGTTTTTAAACACTGTGTCCACTCACTGTCCACTCTATTACACACTCCTACCTAGTCAGTCCACCTTGTAGATGTAAAGTCAGGACGCTGTTGGCTGGATATTTTTGGTTGGTGGACTATTCTCAGTCCAGCAGCACTGCTGTGTCTGATCCACTCAGACCAGCACAACACACACTAACACACCACCACCACGTCAGTGTTACTGCAGTGCTGAGAATAATCCACCACCCAAATAGTACCTACTCTGTGAGGGTCCATGGGGGTCCTGACCACTGAAGAACAGGGTAAAAGGGGGCTGACAAAGTATCAGAGAAACAGATGGACTACAGTCTGTTACTGTAGAACTACAAAGTGCTCCTATATAGTAAGTGGAGCTGATAAAATGGACAATGAGCGTAGAAACAAGGAGGTGGTTATAATGTTATGCCTGATCGGTGTAATATTGTATAATAGTTTATGGACTGTATTGACTGGAGAGTGAATGATATGTTTGTAACTTTAATGACACTTTCATACTGCATCAAAATCTTTAATAAAAAAAAAAAAATGGAAATTTAGTTTTTCCATGATTTGGGCCCTTTAAGATTTCAGATGGGAAAGTCGCTGTGTTGAAACCCAGCAGTCAGAACATTAAGCTTTATATGAAAACTTTAGAATATTTGATGTGTTGTAATGGCTTTAGAAACCGTAGCCTCTAATCTCACTGGCTTACTGTGCACTTTAAATCAAACAGTAGTAGGTAATGTATTTCATAGCAGGTCAATACATTTGCTTAGAGTCAACTTCTTCCCTCACAGCACTTGCCAATAGCACTTAGAGAGGATACAGATGATTAGGCTCGCTGCCAAAAGCTAACACTGTTAGTATAGGGAAGCATGTGCTTGGTGTCATGTTAGTGGAAATGCAGAGCACCGCAATAGCTTGTGGGCCCACTTGTGGCATGTCATATATCGCATGCAAGCTGTGGATACAGTGATGATCTAATCCCCTAGGAAAAGGTTCATATGTTCTGCTGTCACAGTACTGTACAGTGACCTGAGTCAAGAGCAGGAACAGCCAGCCAGTGCCAGTCTGAGGTCAGTTTGGCCGTCTGATTCAATTCAACTGGAAACATTGACTGCACCGAGCCTGATCCCAGACCAGCACTGCATGAGCCCAGCTCCTCAGCATGCCCAGCCTTGGGGAGTACCAGTTTCATGGCTATGTGAAAACCACACAGTCATGTTGTTGGGTTTTTACCAGTATGGTGCCCTAGGCTGAACTGTGGGCTATGTTTTAATGGGCACATTCCACCACTGGGGCCGTGCCTTCTGGAAGTAGGGCAAAGCCGCACGCTTCACACTGGCACAACATGGAGCCCCCGTGGACACGGCAGAGATCAGCCGAGGTAAGTCAAAAACAACACATTGCCGCTCTCAGTGTGCAGACGCTGCCTTAGAAACACAACAAATTGCTTAAGAAGCACCGTTATATACATTTAATGTAAGACATCAATAAAAATTACGTAATTTGTGTAGTTATGTTACGAAGTTAGCCTTGTTAGCCAAAAAGCAACACTGTCTCTCCTTTCTCAGTTCATACAACAACATGTCCTTCGCAATGCACTTACGTTAAGGCTTTTGTGTTCAAAGCAGCAAAGCACAATATAATAATAATAATACTTATCAGCAAATACGAAAAAAGCGGTCACACAAAATTGGCGTTTATCTGAATTGCTAGCCTGTATATTTTGTCCATCTGTATACTGGGATCTCAAACACTTAACCAAGTACTCAAGTATCCGTGCACATCTTCAAATTTGATATTACTGCATATCATTTGATATTTTTCACTCATAGGTCACGAATCAAGGGGATAAATACAAAAAGTGGGTTTGAAAATTTTTACGCATCTTGAAATATTTAGTATTTAGTTAGTTGCAAAATATTTTTTAAATAATTAGGAATTACTTAGATAATTAGGAATTACTTAGTCATTTTCAGTGTCGATATAATTCAATGGTTATTTACTATTTTGCTATTTTACTTAATGCTTAGTAAAAATACAATTTAAAAACATTAATAATCATTAATTCAACCCCTTTTATAAAGCTGCCTTCATAATCCATATTCAAAGCCCTAAACCTTAACTTTACAGTGTGTTTGTAAGACATACTGTATAATACACTTATGAAAAGCATTTACAGTGCTAGACTTATTTGTATGCCACTAAGGAAATGGTTAAAATTCAAATGGTAGCAATTAGCAATGCACAAGTAACAAATAATTTAGTTATAAACTATCATTAAAATACTATTAGATAAAGATTACTTTGCTATTTTTAGGGGCTTTTTATTATAGTAATGTAAAGAACAAAAATGTAATTACTTAAATTAATTATTCCATTTAAAAAACATAGAAATATGATAATAATAACTAAAGTTTTCAACTGTAGGACTAACACTGCATACCTTTACACATACCTACAGCGCACCTACCAAAGCTCCAAGCCATTTAATTTCAAACTCAGCTATGAAAATCTCTCGGCCAGAATATTTCTCCTCCAGCAGCCTCTGAACGCTGGAAACCTCATCACCAAATCATCCCACAGCTCTAAAGCACCACCAGACTAATCACCACACACAGAGTCCTGCAGAAACCCACCTTACAGCAGCCCCCCTTCTCTCCCACGTGCCTCAACACTAGCCCCCCACCTCCCACCCACTCCAGCCTGCAGCGCTGGCTCTGGTCCCTGCGCCCACTGCCCCGGGATGGCTCGTGGCGCCTCCACTCCCAGGCTCCCCGGCTGGGAACAGAGCTGCAGGCCATGTTTCTCTCTCTGTCTGCTTAATGAGGCCCCATTCGCACCTCATGCTGCCTCTCCAAAGCCATCAGAGCCGGCGCCGCAGATGAAGGCGAGAGCAGAGCAGGCTGGAAAAGAAAGGCTGGAGATTTAATGTGCTCCTGATAGGAGCTACCTGCAGGAAGGCTTCTCCACTAGATGGTGGAGAAGTTTCTCAGGTTTCCTCACAGTGTGATATACAGCTTATCTTATCACCTTTTACCTTAACTAACCATTCAGGGTGGCCTCTATGAAGAAGGGACAGTAAGCTCAATGGATTATAATATACTGTTTACTATCATATTACTCATTATTATTATCATATTATCGTATTATCATTTCTTAACGAATTATTTAGTATTTTAATAAAACTGCACAGGATTAGCATTCTAAATTCGTTTTATATATTTATCTGAAACCAATTAGGTTTTATATTGTTGAAAACATTGATTCTTTTGAACTGTAGTGCCTTTTGAAGACACCTACCTCTCTATATGTATAGAAGACAAATGAGCATGTTTTCATCGCTGGTATGTGATAACATAAAGGAATGGTTTGGCGAAATATCAAATTTAATACTATTTCTCACTTCATCCAGAAGTAATCAACCATCCAAAGCATGTTTGGTCTCCAAATTTTGCTTATTTAGCTTGAAACTAGAGCTACAAAGCTAGCGATGCTAACAAACACTAGTAGTCAATAGTCACCAAAAACATTTTCTCGAATACATCCCCAAAACTTCTCTCAACCCACTCACACTGCCTGCGGGCCTTCGTTGAGGTCATTAAGACTTGTTGATGTGGTTGAGGACACAGTATGACTTACTGTGAATTATAAAAATGAAGAAAACTTGAAAAAAAAGGTCAAATCATTTCACTGTAAAGTCATTTTTATATTGCACAGTCAGTCACACTTTGCTCTAAGCCACACTAACAAATGGAAGACCTTGACTGGGTTGAGAGAAGTTTTGAGGTTGTAAAACTATCAGATCACTACATACACAAAACCCACTCATACAGAGGAAAACGTATGAAGAATACGTGTCACACCCTGTACTGCATACAGAATCTAATGCAGGTACTGAAGTGCAAATCCAGCTCTGCTCTTCTCTCTTTAAAGACCACCATCTCCAGCACTCAATCCTCTGAAAAACACCCCATACTTCACAATACTCCAGCAATGGAAAAAGTCCCGGCAGGACGATTCCTCCTGCAGATTTCCAGATTTTCCTAATACTCCCTCAGCAGGGTGCACGGCTAAGAGAATCTGGCTGAACAGTCACTTACTTTGGAGGTGCGCTCCTGGCCTTGGGTTTCTCTGCAGCCTGTGAAAGAAACACAACTTCAGTTAGACAAACCGTAATGAAGGACAGAGAGGATCACTGGAGAAAACTCAAGAAGCGCAAGTGCTGAAGGATCAAAAGACTTGTACTGTATGATCACTATAGACCGAAGCCCAAATGTATGTGTGTAGGCTCCCCACAGCCTGCTGCTTTCTTTTTGAACTCACAGTGGAGAATAGTTAGGGGGTGCACTGAAGCTTGAGCAGCTACAGTAGATCAATGCTGGCTCCAGGCTAAGAAAAGGAATTTTCGGGCATGTGGAATTTATCCTAGCAGAGTTTTTAAATTCTTATAGGTGGCCAGTCATGTGTATTTCAGAAAGTATTTGTGCATTTTGTAGAGTATGATCTTTTTGTGGGTTTATAAGTAGAAATAAAACATTTCTAATCAATTCAACATTAACATTCAAAGTACAATATGAGAAATGTTGTCTGAAAGTAACTGGACAGTGACAGTTTTCCAGGCATTTTACAGCCAGGTTTTGCTACAAATCACTAAACATTTTATTTAGGAACATTTTAATTTGTCCAGTTACAAATCACTGTTTGTCGGAAGAAAACCTCATATCTCCATTTTTGACGTTTTTCAGTTTTTGACATAATTTGAAAATACCTGTAACACCTTTACATTATATGTACATTTCATGAAGAATGGACTAAAAGAAATGACCTAAAATGATTTGGAAAAAAGTCTGGCTCCATTGACTTACATTAAAAGTAAAGTAGGTTTCTTTCTTCTCCTGTAAAGTTACCATTTTGGAGATGCAAGCTTTTCCTCCGACAACAGCGAAAAAATCCCTAAATGGGTGATGGGTGATGTATAGAATAAAAAGGCCTGTTACTGATTTATGGTTCAATCAATATTGATGTACAACCCCTGAATTGTATTGATATTCAGGAATTGAATATGTAATCCACTGTGCTGGTGACTAGAGTCAAAACACTGAGAACTGTGCAACAGTCTATTATTTACAGACAGCACTGTATGCATAGCAGTGTGCAAAAAAACCCTTATTACCTACTTTTTTCTGATCAATATGGCATTAAGTACAGGTTAAGGAGCTTTTTTGTGGAGATTACAGATAAACTGCACTTAAAGCTTTCATCTTTGAGAGAGAGGAGAAAATCAAGCTGCTTCAGATCTGAAAACATCCACTGGTGTTTCTGTCCATCCTTCCACTGTGAGAAGACGACTCAGCGCTATGGGTCTGAAAGGATGTGTAGCTGTTCAAGAAGAACCTCACTGAGAAAAGGAGTTGAAAAGAAAAGCTGCTGGTGTTCTCAGAACAATAAACTGACCACTCCAGAGTCCAGACCTCAACATCACTGAATGTGTTTGGGATTATTTGGATTATAAGAAGCAGAAAATGCAAACAACTTCTAAGACTGAACTTTGGAGGTGTGGAAAAATATCTCTGCAGATTTCTTAGAGAAATTGAAAGCAAGAAAAAGAATGGAAGCTGTAATAACACAAACACTGGACACACTTAATACTGATATTATATTTACTTGTTGAGGCTTTTGTATAATTTTCTGTTAAATATATATTTTGTTCTTTTTTTTCTGGGACAGAATAATGAATAACATGCTTAAGAGCCGTTTTGACTGGAAAGGGTGGCGTCTGGCTTTTGCACAGTACTGTAGGTTGCAGGTCGATGTATAAAGTAATGCTAGACCTGTGCAACTTTACAGGCAAGCTAGGAATCTGAAAAACACACATTAAGATGTTTCAGACGTGTCCAGAATGACGCCAAAGCTGTAAATGAATCTAAAGTGAATGAGAAGGCAGTAAAAGCCTCCTGAAAAAAATATCTGTTAAATATGTTTCTGCTTTTTTTCTGACACTGAAAAATAAATAACTTAAAAATGAAATCATGGGTGTGACTGACGCACAGTCCTGAAATTTCGTTCAAGTATTTTCTGGTTTAGAAATAAAACACAGCTGTAAAACAACAGCTGGCACATTGTGAGTTCTCTCTGAGTTCTTTGCAAATTCCCCATCCTCAACATAAAAAAGAAACAAAGAAATTTAAAAAAAACCTAGATGGGTGGGATTGGCGGGGGTTGACGGGTGAGTGCGAAGCTTCACCTCTACCTGCAATATTCCACATTATACATGCACTATTATGAATGAAATGCAAATTGGAAGAAACTGAGGTGTTATCCTCCAGTGTGGGTGGTGGAGGTGTGACCAAAAAAGAAGAAGAAGATGTGAAATCACTTCACAGACTCCAGCACAAGTCAGTCAGTTCTCAGTCAGACTGCTAGGAGTGTAACACAATGCCCCGATCTGTCTCTGTGTCTGTTTAGGGCTCAGAATATCTCTATCTGTATTTTTTTGTTATGTTTTTTAACCTCAGAAATGGTCAGGAGCTGTCAGCAGGTCAAGGCTTCCATTCCTCATTCTTATACCTTAATAACTCCTGTACAATTTAATCATTGTGATGTAAAGATACTCATTTAGAGTGTTTTCATGAGAATTGTAGAGAAAGTTATTGACTTAGATGTCTTTACAGTGGAGGTGATAGGAACCAGGGGTCACAATATATAAAACAAAAATATATTAATCTCATTTACTTTTCAAAATAAGCAGTAAACCTACAAATATATTCTGAGTTTTGCATGTATCTCTCTGGCAGGAGTAGATTAAAATATGTTTTAAGCCAAAAACGTCTGTTAAAACTATCATAAAACAATGTCGTGTGCATCGTGCAGCGCAATCATAACGATTTTGTGTAATAACTTTCTGTGTTGGAGCTTTAAAGGGCATTAAATGTTTCAAGTGTCTGTAATTTTGAAAAATAGGTCAAAGTCCCCTTTAAAAATAACTAGATTGCATTGTTTTCCATGTAATTACTGGAAAACAAGTGTTAGCATGTAATAAGCCTGGGGTTTGAATGGAGCTCATTTATTATCTATGGATGAAAATGTAAACATAATAAATATTCATATGTTCACTTTTTTATTTTTGTATTAATATTATAATTAATAACATTTATTGTGATGCATGTATGATTTTTGTTTTGTTAAGAGTTTAATTTCTTTTGCATGAACACTGGAGCTTTTAAAGTTAACCCTTTATTGTATTATGGTGCCTCAGGGCCACAAACCCACATTCATCAGTTACAATAGCATGACACATATTTACTGACAATAAAAGGGTTATATGGAAAGTACAAGTTTTAATAAACTAATAAAATGCTTTTACCTAGTCGCTCTATCATTTAGTGGCCATTATATATTTACCAAGTAAAGCATTTTATTTATTTGAAGAATGTGGGTTTGTTACCCTGAGGCAACAATATGCAATAATAAGAATGACAACACTACGCAATCTAAACGTTTCTTCTGTCTGAAAGGGTCCGAGTTGAGATCCTGACAGGGAAGTGATGCTCTACACACAGTGCATGTTCCGTGTCTGTTGGACCAGACAGAAAATGACTGAAGATTTATAAGGAACACCTTCAAATTTACTGCGACATAAGGAGCGAATAATGTTGCAGCAGCACATTTTACAGGCCCGTTTTACTTTTTGCAGGATATGTGGCATTACCGCTCGTTCCCTCATTTGCATATTCCATTAGCGATTCAAAACAGAACACTGCCCCACAAAGCACAACACCTGATCTAGTCTGATGGTAAATTGCTGCAGTAAGAGGCCGATGTGGATTGAATCATCTCCTCTAACATATTTGGCCACATGTAAAAGTTACCATCAAATCATGTATGTGCACCCACTCTGAACTGCAGCTGTAGGAGCACATGGGCAGAAAGCTGACCTCAGATTTCCACAAACTTTTGCTGTAAGAAATATAAATTCAAGAGCACACTAAGCAGTGGGTCACAAAAGACCGGACATTACCATGATTTTACCACGGTTAAAGGGGCTGTTGCATGTGAACTGATAACACAGTGACAAAATATGATAAAATACACTAATGCTCAATAAATAATTGATTACTTATAAATAATAGCTGCAATAAACTAACCAATAAACAAACTGTAGGTGGTTAATAGAAGCTTATCATTTCCAAGCAACATAACAGCAAAGATGACTCCATGAAAAAAGCACAATTTCATTTAAAACATAAATAATTAAGTTTGGTTCAACTCATTTACTTCATTCAAAATGATTAGTTCATAAACAAGCGTATATATGCTCACAAAAAATGGATGCCCTTGGTGAAAATAAGTACACATTCTCTCTGCACACTTTTAATGCACTGCACATATGTTATAACATAAAATGTGACCTATGCCAAAGTTATAGCAAATAGAAACTGTGCACTACATTTTGCAGAGAAATGCCATATTTAGGTGTGTTTCACTTAATATGAAAACATCAGAACATGTCATTTGACTGAACGTGTTCAAACTTTTGGACTGAGATACATCGATTTAATTTGATTTAAAAGAAGAACTGTCATCAACTTGCAACCAGGTAGGTTTTGTCATGCATAGAAATGGACGTTTTTTGTCTTGCTGCTGTTGTAGACAGTGGATGGAAGATCTTACATATTATACATTGAGAGCGGGTAACCCTTAGACTATTCTAGACCTCCAGAGAAAGCCTGAAGATTAATGTGAAATAATAAAAAACACAAATATGTTGATAATTTTCAGGTGATTTTTTATTTAATATAATCTTCATGCTTGTTGCATTTAAACTCTCAATATTCCCATTTCATTGTCAAATTTAGGTTGAAAATAAAAATAATTAAACTCTAAAAATGGCCAAAGGAAAACGATCCAATAAGGATTTTTTTTCTCAGTGTTATCTGGGTAACAGCCAAGCAACCTCCCCCATTAATTTGGCCTTCATGAGCTAATTAGGAACTGACAGCGGAATCAATCACATTTTGCTTTCCAGTGGGTGGGACCACTCTAGGCCTTTAGGAGGTTCTAGATAAGTCACTCATTGCGAGTATAAATAGTGGCCTGTCCAGTGACCAGTCCGTTTCAGTCAGATGATAGAACTGGAAA